ATTTTTTCCCTTTAAAAGAGAGACACTGCAGGAGTGAAATGTGTTTAACTGGGGGCAGAACATTATGCAGATGAATTAATAAGAAAGGAGAAGGGAAGTCAGTGTTCTGACTTATCTAGATGACACACACTCCCCAACTGTTGACTGGCACTCTGTGAAAAGCTCAGGTGGGATGGCAAATCCAAGAAGAAGTGAAGGGAACATAGCATCTCTACCCATGACTGTCCAGAGTTGGGCTACTGGCTAGTAGATCTGGGAATTGACAAATCAACTATTAGATGAACATGTGGCATCTGTAAACCAGGCATGTTACTCCAGTCAATTGTTTTGCAAACATTTGTATCATCTTATAAAGTCTGATGTTCTCCACTACTCCTTTATTATATATGATTGAAAAATTATCCTTTTATGCTACAAGGTAGCAAATTGTTGAAAACCACTGCAACTAATGAGATCTAATGCCTCATCTGTTCATCTGATTAAAATGTGCTGGAAGATTATCTGTCCAGTGTTAGTGCCTAGTAACCTAATGCTGTCTAGGAGACACAAAGCTTTCTCTCTCAGTTTTTATGCCGAAGGTTATTTGTTATGCATATTTGCTAGGATTAGTGTTAAATTCCCCCAGTTGTATTTAGTAAGACTGTGATTTCTTTTGTATGTTGTCTCTGAAAATTAATCCTGACTAACCCCTAATCTGCAGCTTTGATTTGATTTGGCTTCTTTCTGCACTTAAATATGTACTGTCCCTGTTTGGAGGGTCTTTAAGAAGTAGCTCGTTTCACTATTTCACTTAGATTTTAAAGTGGTTACTCTTTTTAAAAAAAAGTCATAAATTTTTTTAAGCTGCTGAAATGACTATCTAATTAATATTATCTATTTAATTAATATTAATTGACTATCTAATTAATATTAATAATCTATCTTCTTTCCTACCCCATATACTCAGAAATGTGAGCACATAACCCCTTCCACTACTGCAGTTGGCTGAAACCATGGTCCTGAACAGTGGGAGTTTGCCACTCTGTTGCTCTAGGGTTGCTATCTATTTGGTTTTTTTTCTGTATTGCTCCATTCATATTCTGCAAGTGCATTGTTGTTAGGAAAAGGGAATCTGTCTGTTGGTTAAAGCAGGGCAGTGGGAGCCAGCACTCCGGGGTTCTAGTCCCCACTCTGCCACTGATTTGCTATCAGGCTTTTGGCAAATAACTTATCCACTCTGGGCCTCAGTTTCCACTGCTGGGAAGTGGAGATGACATTCCCCCCATTAGAGATGTGGCGTGTGGCTTAATATCTGTTTGTGAAGTGCTCTGGTGAGATGAGTTGTTATATAAGCACAGTGGTGATGGCGGTGGTAACAGTCGGTTATTCTGCTGAGATTTTAAACTGGCCATGTCCATGGTGGATGCGAGGTCATGCAGGCGGGGTGGAGCAGTGAACTCTTCAAAATAGCACCCTCCATCCTGTGCAGCATGATACCAGACAAAACCATGACCAGTTTTATATCTGTACTGGCCAGGACAGACCTTGAAAAAACAGGACTATCCAACTTAAAAGTGGATGAATGGCCTGCTTAGCCAGATTTATAAATTTGCCCATTGGCCTTTTCAGTGGGGGGCAATCCTCACCCTCTTACTCTGAATAGTTGAGGAAGCTTATCATGAGGAGGTTTTTTGGGGGTAATTCTTCTCCCAGACATTTTGCTATGGGAGAGGATGACATGGGCCAGTGAAATGAATTCCATTAGTTCAGCTTTTGAAATGCTGTAGTAATGAGTGATCTTTCTGGAATCACAAGAATTTCTGCAGCTAGGATGAAATCAGGAAGTGCCATGGGAGAAAAAAGAAAAGGAGTACTTGTGGCACCTTAGAGACTAACAAATTTATTTGACCATAAGCTTTCGTGAGCTACAGCTCACTTCATCGGATGCATTCAGTGGGAGAAAAGTACATATTGCTAGATCTATCATGGTTCATTATTTAAAGAACTTTATGCCAAAGAAACTGGGTTAAAGTGTTCCAAACATGTCTGAGCCCCTCTCACTAAGTAGTCTGTCTTCTCCCCCCCAGATGAACAAAATCTTAATAACCTTAGTAAAGAAGAAACACAAAGTTGAATGGTAGAATTCCAGTATCCTTTATTCCTCTACAACATAGATTTTACTAACTGCTTTTAAAACTGGTGAGGATAAAAGTCCAATAGAGAGCAGGTCTATGTTACCCACAGGCTCAGATACATGATGAATATTTAAACAAACAGTGTGCATGTGCCAACCAGATAGACTGGTGAATGGCTAACTGTTATTTATTGATAAAGTTTAAAAACCAAGATCTTCAGCCAATGGTATGGCTGCTATTTCACAACAAGTAGTTCAGCCTTTGCTATTCCTCTGCTTCTTCCCTTTCTTCCTTGGCTCCCCCCAAAAATGTGGCTGTTGGTTGCAGGAATTTAGAGGATGGAGGATCCCTTCCTCTTTTCCCTCTGCAGCTGTCCTGTAATCCCTTAACTGTTGAAGGTAGAATGGTGACAATTCCCTACTCTGCCACAGATTTCCTGAATGACCTTGGGCAAGTCATTTAGTCTGAGTCTACACTGCAAAGCAATAGGGCTCAAACCCTGGGTCTGGTCTTGACTTGGTCTTGAACCCTTCACCTCCACGGTGTCCTGGGATCCTAGGTCTGAGTCAGTCTGAGAGATTTGTTTGTAGATGGAAAGGGGGTTTGAGCTCAAGTCTGAATCTGAGCCTGTTCTCACATTGCAATGTAGACATACCCATTATATCTCTGTGCCTCAGTCACCCCCTCTATATAATGGGGATAATATCTACCTACCTACAGGGGTGTTGTGAGGTTAAATACATGAAAAATTAGGAGGTGCTTAGATACTGTAGTAAGGGAGGGGCCATATGAGTAATTAAGAGAGATTGCCAGGCAGCTTCCGGACATCTGGGTTCTCTTTCTCTCTCAGGTTTCTTGTGTGACCTTGAGCACATTCATCTCTCTGTGCCTCAGTCCCCATAGGGTAGATTGTTGTTATCCCAATTTTGCCAATCTCACAGGAGTATTGTGGGGATGCATTTATTAATGTTTGTGAGGCACCATATCAAAACATACCTTGACACCAAAAACTCTGTCTCCACTCATTTCTAAATGCCAAAATTCCAAACAGCTGTCCCCTAGCCAGATGCCAGAACCTCCAGCTTTCCCTCAATAACAAAAATAGGTCACATTTTGAAAATGGGAAATTTTGGGGAAAAGCATAAATTGAAAATCTTCCTCGAATTGCAGTTTATATTGAATTTAACAAGAAAATGACAGAAGACGATATTGAAGGTACTGCACTAAATTGTTAAGGATCTTGCCCCTCTTCTTGAATTTAGCTGAAGTTGCCATCAGTATGTTAATGTGATGCAAAATTCAGCGCCCCTATGCTGCAGAAATCTGTGGGTCCTGCAGAATTCAGGTCCTGAGCATTTAGGAAACTTGAGTATTAGTTTTCAGTCATAGTCTTAGCTACTGAGCTTATTCTGTACAGTGCTAAAAAAAACTTTCAAATTAGAGACTGGTTTATTAAGGTATTTAATGACCATGAGTCAATCCTTGCTCCATTGAAGTCAATGGAAGTTTTGCCATTGACTTCAATAGGTCCAGGACTTCACCCCATATCTGCAAGTGTTGAGCAAATACTTTACATTGAACGCCTATAGATGAGTGATGGTTTCTGCTCAGTAACTCTTATCCATTGTACTCCATGCACTTTCTGATTTTTCATAAACTTTTTACCAAATGTCTTTCATGGACTTCCAATGACGAAGTGCAAGCCCCATCTCTTTGTTATATAGGCTGTCTAGGTGTTTATATTGCATCTATCACCATAGTGTGCCACAGTGTACTCATCTAAAGAAATAACAGTACCTCAATGCAAACATCACAACACAGTGGCAGGATGTCTCACTATGGTTATTCTGTGGCTCTACACCATGTCCTCTCCCTCCCCTGCCTCTAAGACAGGCTACTAGAAGAGAATGGGAGGCATTCTCCCCTCTTGCCTCTTTCCCATATCCTATGCCTTCTTGGAACAACAAGAAGAAATCCTGGGAGCATCAGTTCATTTGCTTCAAGTTCCCAGTGCAACATTTGAACTTCAGTATGGTGACATCATTATGATCATCTCTGCTTGCTCTTGAACAAATGTCTGGAAACCCCTAGAACTATATGAAGTGCTTCTGCGAGCTGCAGGAAGTTCTGGAGCACTGACTGGGTTCATCCTGTGGATACAGTATTTCTACTAAGTTCTGCCTACTGTTGCATCGTATGCTAGACTGACATAGTTTCTCAAAGGGCCTGATCCTGTGAACACAAGTCCCATCCCACCCCACTTCAGTGGGTTTGTTCATTGGTAGATATACTCAATAGTAAGTATTTACAAGAACGGGCTCCAGAAAGGCATGGGACCATATTTTTCTCTGTTGTAACTCCATGGAAGTCCATGAAGGTGCATCAGAGATGAGCTTTTGTACGCATTTAATTAATCATGTTTGTTACAGTTGTGCCTAGGGACTAACCAAAAATGGGGCCTCATTGTGCTGTACTTACACAGAATAGTAGACCGTCCCTATCCTGAGGAGCTTGCAATCTAAATAGTATTTTAAATGGCTGTTTATACAAATGGAGTTTTGGGTGAAAATATGGAGTGAAGTCAATGGGAGTTTTGCCATTGACTTCAGTCTGGCCAGAATTTCACCAATCACATTATTCATACATTGCTGCAAAAAGTTATTTCAACAGCTGAATGAAAACTCATTTGGAGAATCACCTAAAAAGGATGGCTTCAAAAAGGTTATGATATCTGAGTTCTGCTCTGCTGCATATTTCAGCTTTACAGAGATAACATAAATGCTGTGTTTTGACAAGAAAACAGGTAGTATATGAAGTAACTGCTATATCTATATACTGTGAATTTCTTTAATTGTTTTGTGAATGTGCGTGTTTGTATCTCCATAGGGCTAACTGGAAAGATCATAAATGCCATCCTTGAAGGGGGATTTGAAATCTCAGCTTTGCAATTGGTAAGTATCCTCATGCATTTTATATGTTTCTGTTTTCCATTTTAACTGGATCTAGAGCAAAGTTGCATGATTGCCATTTTCTTTAATTAAAAAAAAATCTCAACATAGGAACATGGGCTGTCAAATTAAAGACTGTATTGGGTAGAATGTTGGAAGCTGGCACTTCATGTACTTCTGTGATGCAGACTGAGTCTCTGTCTAAAGGTTTTATACTGCTGCCCCTCATCGTAGCGTATGAGTGCCTTCCACATAAAATCAACAGCAATAACAAGCAAGAAGTCCGAAGTGGACTTCATTGAGTCTCTGGTGCCTCTCCCTTTTTTAGGATCAGAACTTTTGGGGGGTATGTTTTTGTTTGTTTGTTTGACTGGGTGATATGGTCATTGGAGGGTTGTTTTCATTTTGTGTTTATATTTTTTTTGGGGGGGACAGTTATTTTTGTAGATGGGGTGTCAAGGTTGTCAACATTAGGATTTTTTTTCTTTTAAATTTATGGCTGGTGTATTGCTGATGGGTGATCTTGAACAAGTCCAAGTCACTTTGCCTCTCTGTGGCTCAGTTTCCCCATATGTATAATGGCAGTAATGATACTGACCTCTTTTATAAAGCACTTTGAGATCTACTCATGAAAAGTGCTAGGTATTAATAATAATAAACTGCTTACAGTTTTTTTTATGAAACATTTAGTGTGAATTTAAGATAGGATTTTCCAAGTTGCCTAAGGGATTTTGAAAATCTCACCCTTAATACTTGTGAACACCTTTGAGACTGAAATCATCTATTTGGCCACAGAGCAGTTTCAGCATGGGAAGAATCAAAGCAAACGTTTCCCGCACATAACCACCACTAATATGCCTCAATCTTGATCTGGAAGGACAGACTCTAGAGTTCAGAAGGTAGTTCAGCCTCCTTGGTCTATTTGCATGCTCATTGAGACACAATTAACAGAATCAATTAGTGCAAGCTGAGGTGCTGGGCTTTCTAATCGAATTTGGAATTTAGAGTACAGTTATGGTCAGAAAAGGAACCGTGTAAAAATGGTCTTATTGAATCCATCCTGCTCCCAATTTATCTTTAAGTGGCATCTGCCAACTTCATGGAGAAAATACAATATTTATTGCTTAGTTGCACGGGCTTGCTGCGCTGTTGAAGAATGATCTGGAACCTATCTGCCCCATGCATCATCAGCAAAAGAGTCCTTCAAAGCCTTCCTTCCTATCACAGGGGAAACCATCAAAATACTTTGCGGGGTAAATAAAGAGTATGCTAAATGCTTGCTGGCTTTTTCTCCTGAGACAGTTTAGCTAACATTTTCACCCTTTTCCTTTGCATAGTTCAACATGGAACGTGCGAATGTGGAAGAGTTCTATGAGATTTACAAAGGTGTTGTTGCTGAATACACTGTAAGTATCAACTAGAAAAGAATCTACTAAAAAATAAGACTGCAATTACGGAGAAGTGGTCATTGCTTTCTGTACTTAGAATTCTAGTCACAATCCTATCTGGCTTCTGATTTTGATCACGCCCTGAGTTGGTCCAGAATGAACCAATCCATCTGAAATTCCTCATGTATACTCCTGAGTCAGGAGAATTTTTTGTGGGAAAAGTGGAGGACCATTGGGCCAAGATATTTATGGAATAGATCAGATTGGAAAAACAGAACTGAGCTATTTCACTTTGGTAGAGCTGATGTAATGTCTAGTTTTATATTGTTGTTGAATGTCCTGTTTCAAAAGTGGTTTGGCCTAGAAACTCTGTATGTATTTATTCCTTTGTCCTCAGTGGGTCCTGGGGCGTTTGAGTATTTTTATGATGGTTGGGCGGTTAATGTCATATATAAGTTAATCTGTCTTTTGAATCTCTGTGAAATCAGTGTGGTCCAGTAGGTATATTGTAACCTCAGTGGGGACTGATGTCTGTGTACATTGTAATGCCTTTGAGCACTGGCACTGAAGGCTTTCTGGGTGCAGGTGGACCAACGGGAATATAATAAGGTGACTTGTATTTCTGCAACACCCTCCCTCTGAGGATTTCAGTTCACTGTGAAAACAATAGTGAAAAGAGACTTACAATGTCCCTGTGAAGTATTCAGAGTTGTAGCTGCAAAAACAATGTATCAGCAAAAACAATGAGGAGTCCTTGTGGCACCTTAGAGACTAACAAATTTATTTGGGCAGAAGCTTTTGCGGGCTAAGACCCACTTCATCAGATGCATGGAGTGAAAAATACAGTAAGCAATATATATATTACAGCACATGAAAAGATGGGAGTTGCCTTACCAAGTGGTGGGTCAGTGCTAACAAGGCCAATTCAATTAAGGTAGAAGTGGCCTAGTTCTCAACAGTTGACAAGAAGGGGTGAATATCAAGAGAGGGAAAATTATCCCCACTTGGTAAGGCAACTCCCATCTTTTCATGTGCTGTAATATATATACTGCTTACTGTATTTTTCACTCCATACGTCTGATGAAGTAGGCTGTAGCCCACGAAAGCTTATGCCCAAATAAATTTGTTAGTCTCTAAGTTGCCACAAGGACTCCTCGTTGTTTTTTCCCGTGAAGTATGTAAGTTATCCCTATTTTAAAGATGGATTAAGGTACCAGCACTCCAAAGGGATCTGGCCATTTGACTTTTATGCCTCAGGGAGTACAAGAAGTGTGTAAGGGTACCTCAGGTTGATCACTTTGGAAGATCAGGACTGTAGTGACACAAGAGTTTGGTGGCAAAATAGGGAATGTTAACCAGGTCTCATCTCCCAGCCCTGAGCCTCAGAACTAGGACAAAGGAGGATCTGACAAGATAGGAGAACTGAATGTACCATAGCTCAAATGTGAGCATATCTGTATGGTCTGATGCAGATATCGTATCCTCTGCAGTTGTTCAAATCTCCAGAGAAGTCCCTGTGGTTGCATCAAACTACAACTGCTATTCCATCTCTGCACCTCTTTCATACATTCTGTACCCCAAAATATTTGGCGTGGTTAAATAATTGAATATGAGAGTTGACCAGAAGGGAGAGGGAAATTTGAGAGATCAGGACAAGAAAGAAGAGATTTTGTTTAGAGTCTATTTGAAGCTAAATCTATGAGTCAAGACCTCCTTCAAGCCCTCTATGCCTGGAGCACTCAAGTGAAGGAAATGGGATTTCCCCAGGTGCAGTTCTGGTCTTCTCTGAGGTAGAGAGATATAGGAAATCTAGCCTGGCTTGTAAGAGAAGGCACTTGCCCCAAGAGCAGTGAGATAATGCCAGTGGTAGGCAACTGAAAAGGAGCAAGGAGGGAAGAAGGAGGAGCACCTAAGTCAGGATCTGACCTCCATATATGTGACTCAGATCTCTAGGACTTTCCATCCTGTTGTGTGGGGTTTTTTTTTTTTTTTATGACTTAAAAATAATCATCATGATGTGTGAAATTTCAGGGCAGAAGTTGTTTCATATTTAAATGCCAGCTTCCTTTTCAAGGGTCTTGTCCTCATTTCCTAGGGATCGTCATCGGTTATTCAGACGTGGGCTTAGCATCTAACTAGAAAATGGTCCTTCATGAAAGGAGAAATTGAAATAGTTGCCAAAGATTCCAGCTTTGCTGGTGTTTCGTCCAACTGCCTAGGGCAGGAGTCCTTAGATAACTGTTAGAAAAAAACAAACCACAAATGATCGCTTTGTGAGCACAGTTACACGTGTTGGGATGTGCCATTATGCTGAGTACTGCTAGAACAGGGATCCCCAAACCGTGGTAGGTGAGCTTGATGTTCCATCACAGCCATTGTTTAAGAAGGTGATATATGAACCAATGAACTTTGGAAGCAGCTGCACTAGAGCTTGTTTCATAGTAATAATACCATCTAGCACTGCACTGTAGCTGAAGGCATCTGGTCTTCAGCCTGGTGCCTCATCACGCAACCTAGGAATTTGGAATAATCTCACCCCTTGTTGAGTGCTTGTCTTCCTGTGAACACTCTATAATCAAAGTTCTGGGGTGAAATCCTGGCCCCATTAATGTCAAAGGGAGCATGCTATTGACTTCAGTGGGGCAGGATTTCATGAGTGATCTCAAACGGGATCTCATTGGGAAGTTGCTCTCATTCTGGAAACATAGCATTTGCATTTAATTCTCTTTGCATTTAATGTTAATTCTTACATGCTAGGGATAGGCATGATCCAGGTTTTTCTGCCACATGCCTCATCTCCTTGTTACCCTTTACTTTCTTGTTCTCTGCTTGCCACTGGGTTGACCTGTGAGCAGCTCATTGCTGAATGCTAGAATGGTGACATCTTAGCTTGTTCTCACCAGCTTCGCCCATTTCCTATTCCTGTCTTCCCTTTTCCCCATCAGTTGCAATTCCTTTCTTTTGTTTTGTTTTAAAAGTTTCTGCTCAGAACTCTAAGTGTGCACACACTCTACAGTCTGTGTTATCCGGGAGGTCAGACTAAATGATTGTAAGAACCCCTATTAATCTTGTTAGCAAACTACAAATTGGCACCAGCGGCTATAGTTAAAACTCACCTCCCCAAATTAAGACTCTCCTTAAAGAAAGAGGCAGTGTCCAAGGGAGGTAGGACCTAAAGCATGATGTAAGTTTTGTATCAGCTAAAATGGACAACTTAGTTTATATTGACTACGTAGGTCAGGTGTTACGTGTCCCCTTCGGGAACTGCTGCTAAGTAAATAGGTCGCTCCATTCTGAACCAGCTGAAGATTCTAAGGCTATGTCTACACTACGCACCTTACAGCGGTGAGGTGCACTATGTGGTTGCTCTTTGTCGCTGGGAGAGAGCTCTCCCACCTCCAACGAGGGGTGGTAGCTTCATCACCAGATGTAGCCTAAATGTTCTTCAGGTTTAAACCCAAGTACAGCAAGTTGCAGTAACTTAGTCTGAAGGTGACAAAGCTATGGCTTTCTGTAGCAAGATCCATGTGAGGAACGAAGAGGTTGCAACCTCAGGCTAAATGCAGAGAAATAAACATATTTTGGCAACTGCTGGTACTTGGGCATCCTGAAGAAGTTAGGGATCCAACTTACCCTCCATGTTGTGAACCTGAATAACAAAATATGGGTAAATTATCTCAACTAAGGATGCTGATTATACCTTCTGCCATTTCTTCCTGCTGTGTTCCCCAACATTTCCTAATAATTTCTTCTTGTTTGTGTTTGGATCCAACTTTTATGTGAAATACAACTCTTGGTAACACACTAACAAACTGACATTTGTTTTCATCTTTTCCTCTTCCAGGAGATGGTTACAGAACTGTGCTCAGGGCCTTGCATAGCACTAGAGATCAGGCAGCTTGATCCTCAAAAAGTATTCAGAGACTTCTGTGGGCCTTCTGATCCTGTAAGTTACTTGTTTAAAGAGAAATATTTGAAAGGCGATATTCTATATGTCAAACTTAAACATTACAGCATTGCTCTGTTACTGTATGTGTTTATCACTTCCTTTGAAACATTTAGCCATTGGACACTGCTTGATTGAAGCTGGATAGTAGACTAGGTGGATCAGTGGTCTGAACCTGTAGGTAATCCACCTATCCTAGGTAAACAAAGTAAGAAAATTACCAAAAGAATACTTATGTGAAAATACAGTGTCAAGATAAAAGTTACCTTGGTAATTGTTTTCATCAATTTTCACTGGACTGCAAAGCACTACAACAGTTAACCAAAAACAAATGGGCTGATTCTCTTTTCAGGCCAGAGTAAATCAGTGTTACTCCACTGAAGTCTGTGGCAATCCCCTGGTGTCCAACTGGTGAGAAGAAACTCTCAGGGTATGTCTACACTGCAAAGTAAGCCCATGCTTGAGCCCTCCTTGTGTCTACACTGCAATTGCGCTAATCCAGGGCTTGGACCCAGGGTCCCAGGTCCCTGGAGGGCCCAAGCTCGAGTTAAGCCGGGACCCAAGTCTGAGCCCTTTTGCTTTGCATTGTAGATGCGGCCCTCCTTGATTCAGGTCCCTGGTGTCAGCCAGAAGAATCCCAAAGTTCTATGGAACAACTTCCTTAGTCCTCTCTGTTCCAACAATCTGCAATCCGCTCTACTGAAAACGGAAGCCCTTTGCAAATGGCAGCAGCTTAGGTCAGCATTAACCCATTCTCTTCTGATCACTGATCTGCAAGCACACTATCAGAGAGCCTCCTGGGTTGCAATGGAGAGTGAACTGATCGAGCCTTTTGCAAAGGATGTTGCTTCCTGGTAATGTGCAGGGCAGGCAGTAAAGTTTTCCCACAGTGCATCACGGTCCTAGGGCTAGAGTGACCATATTTTGGGGGAAAGGGAGGATGCTGGAATGTGGTTATTTTGAGTTGGGTCTGTGCACTGCAGTGTGGATGTCAGAGTCCAAGGTTGTAGCACAAGTTAGAAAAGTCTTAACATAGGGTTAAAATACAATGTAGATGCTCAAGCCCAGAGTTCCCTAATACAGATCAGCTGACTCGAGTCCCACTAACTCTGGGCTCATAGGCGATGAGTATCGGGGGGCTATGCTGGGTCAAATGCCCCCGCCCGATTTCTGCTTGGCCTGGAGGGCAGAGGGGTGGAGGGAGAGGAGCTCTGTCCTTCTCCCACTGCTCCTGTCCTTCAGCACGCTCAGCCCTCGACCCTGGCAGTCAGGCCTGTGCGGGGAGTGGAAGGGGCAGGACCAGCCACTTCTCACACCGTCCACTCTGGGTGGCTGCTCTGTGCAGCGCAGCAGCTGCCTGAGAGACAGCCTGGCTGGGGAGGTGGCAGCAGTGAACCACCCTGCCCGCCTAGGCCTGGCTGCCAGGAACAGGGGCCGAGTGAGCTGGAAACATGCCGGGGGGAGAGGGGACTCCAGCTTACTCAGCCCCTGTCCCCGGCAGCCAGGCCAGGGGTGTGGGGGTGGCTCACCGCTGCCACCTCCTCAGGCAGCCACTGCGCTGCACAGAGTCAGCAACCCAGAGCAGCCAGCTTCAACACGTGAGAAGTGGCTCCATCCCATTCCCCGCCCGGTCCCAACTGCCAGGGAGAGCAGCCAAATGTGCCAGGGTGGAGGCGCAGCAGGAGAAGGAGAGAGCCTCTCCCACCCACAGGTAACTGTGTGGGTCAGGAAAAGCATGGTGGCCCTGGGCTAGGCACAGGGCGAGTCGCTGGGCAGAGGAGACATGCGGGACAATCACATGTCCTCCCCCTTTAGATTGTTCCCGTCAGTATCAGGAGGTAGGAGTCATCTATGCCTGGGCTTACATTACATTGTAGACATACCCCCAGTCCCCATGTTCATTGTAGGAAACAAAAAGCTTGCATTCTGTAGCCCTGCTTGTAATATGATTATTTTATAGGCTTTATTATGTATTTATTTGAGTGCCATCAATGTACATGATGTTGTACAGAACAGAGAGGTAGAGACAGTCCCTATCCCAAAGATCTTGCCATTTTTGACTAACCAGACAATAAGGTGCAGACAAAAATACACCAGATTGCATCCAGAAGACAAAATGACAATCCCTTGGCAATGCAATCAGGGCTTTGTATTTTAATATTATGGTAGGATGTTTTAGTTGTAATTAGGCAGTTTCCAATGCCCAGTATTTTATAGATTTACACCTGAAGAAGAGAACAACTTCTTTAGAGTTTATTGCTCTGTAGATTCACATTTAACATTAGAGAAGGCAAATATTGGGGGAATTATTCAAATACTTTTGCTAATTTCTAACTACTTTTCCATTTGGCCATGTTAAATGTTCTATTTCATGTACTCTGTTACTCTAGTGTGAGCAGAGCATAACCCCAGTTATTTGACCTATATTTAAATGAAGGTCAGTCACCTCTCTCAATAGCAGTTCACATAGTACACTGCTCCTTTGGTTATCCCAAATGCCATTAATGGAAGGTTTCTAAACACTTGAACTCTCGTACACTGCTCCTTTGGTTATCCCAAATGCCATTAATGGAAGGTTTCTAAACACTTGAACTCTTTGAAAGATTGGGGTTGTCATTTTATTTCGTTTTTGTTATTCATGTTTATGCTGGTTTTGTTTAATCCTTGGCATGATACTGCTGATACTGGAAGGTGTCCACAAACTAGCAGTCTTAAAGTTATTAAAGATAAATCCAACATGCTCATAACACTTGTAGTTCCGTATGATGATAATGGTTATAATTTAATCTCCTGTTTCAGGGCTTCCAGCAGAGGTTAGGAAGGAATTTTTTGCCCCAGTGTACAATTATAATCTCTGCGTTTTGAATTTTGTTGGGTCTTTTTTCAGTCTCCTTCCTCTGAAGCATCAGAGATTTGCCATGGCTAGTGAGGGTGGGCTAGGCCAGTGGTATGAGGCAGTACAGAAAATCTTTTGTTTTAGATGCCTTGCTGGTGTTTCTTGTTCACATGCTCAGGATCTAACTGATTGCCAGATTTGGGATCAGAAAGGAATTTTTCCAGGTTAGATTGTCAGGGACCTTGGCTGTATTTCATCTTCCTCTGCAATGTGGTTTGTGAATTGCCTGCTAGGATCATCTCGGTATAGGGTATATCTCATCTACTCAATTCCTGGCCATCACAGGGCCTTGGTTGTGCCTCAGTCTTTCCTATTCTCTGCCTGTGGTACACCTCAGTATATTCTCTTGAGGAGTAAAATGTTTTGGTTTAACTGAAGTCATTAGGCTCAATTTAGGTGGAATTTAATGGCATGTGATATACAGGAGGTCAGACTAGATGATCTAATGATTTCTTCTGGCCTGAAGCTCTATGAAGCTATTTATCTAAGGTCTTCACATAGCTTCCAGTACCATAGTATCTGAGTGAGTCACAATCTTTAATGTATTCATCCTCACAACACTCCTGTGAGGTAGGGAGGGGTTGTTATCCCCATTTTACAGATGAGGAAGTAAGGCATAAAGAGACTAGTTGATTTCCCCAGAGACACACCAGAAACTTGTAGCTGAGCAGGGAATTGAACCCTAGTGTCCGGAGTCCCAAGCTAGTGCTCTAACCACTGGGTCATTTTGGATATTTGTTTGTGTGGTTCCTTTTTACCTGGTAGCAACACTATATGTGTAGAGTGAAAATAAGCATGATTTTACATGCATTAGAAACAGATGTCTTAGGTTTTGGACATTGGCTTCATATTGCTTGCTTTAATGGTATGTTAGAAGTACACAACATATCTATCTCCACTGTTTATTGTAAGAATCACCTTAAATCAATTCCTTATCCACATACAGGATAAATGCACAGGGGTAGAGCTGCTTTCAGGAGTGTCTTTGCTTGCAATTTATCTGTTTAGTTAGATAATGTTTGCAGCTTGTCCTTGACAAAATGTCGTTAAAGTATCACATTTTTTATCATCCCTAATCTACATAGTCAGGGAAGCTATCAACTAAACATTGTGGTTGCAATGTCTGCCTCAGGTAGTGGTAGCAGAAACCAGAAAAGCAATTTCCTGTCTAACAAGGTTATGTACACAGTCTTAGAGCTTCATGAGCTGATATTTTAGTGCTTAAAGAGAGGGAAAATATTTAGTGTCCCATAAATAGTACATTGTCATTCAGAGATCTGAATTCGTGTGTGTGTGTGTGTGTGTGTGTGTGTGTGTAAAATAAAAAAAATCTGTTTTTGTCCTATACAGTTCAATTATCTTGAACAATTAGTTTCAAGCTTCATTACTTTAGATTTAGTTTTCTGCTCTGTGTGGGGTTTCAGTTTTGATGTGAAAATAACATTTTTTTTTATTTTAACATTTGTTGACTGGGAAAGATTTAAGTGTTTTTCTTATTCTCTCATATAAATGCACCTTTTCACATTTAGTTATTATGTTTCTGATCAATAAGGTGTTTTTTGTTTAAGCTTACTGTGGTGACTTGCAATCAGCATTGCTGTCCAGGAGATAAAATCCTGGAGCAATTCTAAAATCCTAGGGCAGTGCCAATGTCCTTTGACAGACTCGGGATAGGAGGACCTAAATTGACTCTGATTTATGAAGTCTAGTGACCTTCACATGTGTGAAGAAGTTTGGTATATAAATACCAAAGTTTAAAGGCATTTGAGAACAGCCAATCAAGCATTTTATGGAGCATGTTCTTAACTACTAATGTTAACAATGCGCTGTGGCATGTTGTGCACTCATGTTCATATCTGATGCATTGCTTCCTGATATAAAAATACAACCTGCTATAGACCAAGACAAGGGCAAAGTCTGGAATTACAGCACAAAACACAAAGTTCCAGCTTGTGCCACCCTTGCTCATGTTGAATAGTCCCTTACTCCACTAGTTGTCTCGTTTGAAGTCAATGGGATGGCTCTTGAAGTAAGGTGCTACTCAAAGCGAGTAAAGACACTGGACTCTGACCTATATGGATGTCACCTTAGTTTATCGGTGGCA